TTTGCGACTTTGTATCATCTGTTTGACACGTTCTCGGTGGCTGTTACGATCATATGATCGGTTGTTTGTGATTTGGAAGCTGTCAGTCATACCTGGCCTGTTCATTGGCCCTTGATAAATGGATGATGCTCTTGTGCTTGTTTGTTGGCTGGTTTACGTTTTGATGTGAACTGGCAAAAATGTAATATTCCCACCCCTCGTTCCACACGCATTGGATATGTGAGCAATTTGTATCCCATTGCTCTGTCGGTGCAAAATCAGCTGGCAAGTCAACAGAATAAATGTTGTGAATCTTGTAAATTTGCGAAATTGACTTCATCATCATTTATTTCACTTATCGATGCGAGATACCCGTTGTTTCCATCTGACCCCAGTGATTCACAAGTTTCAGTTGTGTTTGACTTAATGCGAATCCAAATTCCTATTTGCTTTACAGCTACTCAAAACGCCTTCTCGATCGGATGGCGCAAGTTCAAAAACCGGTCGCCGGTTCCTCATGGCTGGAGACCATGTTCCGTCCGTTCACGACGGAGGAAGTACAAGCCGCGATACTCACAACTGGCCATTCGAACCAGAGTCCAGACACAATGTGGCTTCCGATTGTCCGGTATCATGTGCTTCGCTTGATGCTTACTCCAGTCGTGGAAGCTATTTTGCTATTGGATCGATTGATACTATTGCAGGAACAAGGTACATGGAAACCAAGCGAATCTGTATTGTGTAATCTTCTTGTTGGATGGAAATGTTCTCTTTAATCTGTTTCACCTCAAGCAAACTTCGGTCTTCTTCATCGCAGAGCGCTTCAGTTCAGTTCACATTCGTTTAAGCACACCAGAATGGAGGATACGCAGAAAGTACCTAAATAGACATTCCCAAGCCAAACATAGAACATAGCTCTTCGATTACTCTCTAACTTTAACCAGAGTTTGAACTGCAATGAAATGACAAACCCAGTTATAGAAAATGAAATTTCGTACCCTCCAGCGACTCTAGAAAAGTTGCAGTCAGACTGGGTAGATTTTCAGATAACCCGATAAGTCGTATCGTTTTCGCTTGGCGGGACAAACGCAAACGTCTAACCCTATTCTGCTCTAGTGATCATTGAAGTCTCACCGGTACTCACCGCGGTTGGCCTTCGGTATTTGGTTATATGTTGTTTTTCTCTCCATTTTTTACACCCTTCAAAGTTTCTCATCGATGCCCAGTGGGCACTCCCAATTGCGATATTCATAATCTGAAATTAGGTATACGTCATTCTTACGGGTCAGTCTATAGCGAGAATCAAGCGGGCAATCCCTCATGTACGAAAGTATTTTTTAATGGATGGAAATCGATAAAACTTTTGAGTTTTGAAATTTCTTCTTTGCAAAATCAACGTTTCCATTATTTGATCAAATGTTGTGGTAATGTCTAGATTTGGTGTTGTTTCATTTTTAGATTACTGCATCGTGAAATTAACGAGTTTTTATTAGGAGACAATATCCATGTCCCTATCCGTTCAGTCATGTGAAGTAGTTCTTATCTTCTGATAGATTTTCGTATAATAATTTCCGCCCTTATTGCTTGAAAACTGTAAGTGGGAAACGCTTCCCCAAATGTTCTATGGAGAAGCATTCTTCTACGTCATGAGAAGAATGTTGATCACCTGTGTCCTTTCATCTATTATCGTATATTGAGTAACAATCCATTTAGAGTTGGATTGGCTCATAAATTTATTATTATTATCATTATTAGCGGATTTATCAGAGGTCTCATCCATGTTGAAGTAATAGGTTGGTCTATACGTTCTCCACTTAGTACATGAAACAATGCTTTCGAAAGCTTATGGTAGATTACAATTTGTTTCACCAACTCAGCCGGCCGGCTTCTATGCTCGAAAAACTTCCGTGGAAACGACCCGAGGAATATGGAAGGCACAGTTTGTACTCGGGAAAGGACTATATCAGACTTGATGCGAAAATAAAATAAAAATTACTCCAGAATTACTCCTCTCCTGCTGAACACAAGAGGCTTAACAGTGTCCACAGTTGGAAGTCGATCGTATTACGTTACTTCTCTCATTTCTTTTCTCTCTTCAAATCAACCGTCAGTTTCAAAATAATGACAACAAAGCACAGTCAGTGGATCGATGTATTAGATATGACCTGACCGCTGCTGTCTGCCAAACATGAGGGGATCGAAAAGGATACCGCTTCTTACCCACTACTTGATGTGTTTTACTACAAAGATGCCCCAAGGATTCATCGGTAGAGTTTTTGAATTCGAGTGGCACATCCACTCTGTTCGGTGGGGATATATTATCGCTGTTTCTGAAACGTGACTTTCGGTTGATATTCCAAACTTCAAACTGTTCTTACCGGGTATGTATTTATTAAGATGCGGTCTGCTTGCATGTGGTGGTGGTGATGTTTTACTTCGTTTTCGAAATCATCTTCGGTTCAGGATAATACACGTTTCTATTTTCGCACTTGACATACTCTCTTGTAGGTTATAAGTACCCAAGCAGGACTAATGTTTTATCGATGTAGTCTTCCGTTATCCATCATCCCCGAAGTCAACGAAAAAACTGTGGTGCATACTGAGCGACATTATCTACCTCCGGAATCTACCCACACTTCCTGAATGAACAATTTTAACTACCCCCACCTCAATAAACTAACGACTTACCGTCCAAAATCCGAACATTAATTCAAGTAGCTCACTAACTGGTATCCGTTGTAAATCACGTGAACGAGACCGCCGTGTTTGGAAACGCCCGGTCATATTCAACACTGGATTTAGTATCGATAGGTGAGAAGGTGATAGTATAATCCATCGCCACTACTACCCCCTAGGATGCAGTGCCCATGACGTACTATTGTTTCAATAAAGCTTTTACGCCTCTATGAAAAGAGGTTTTACAAACATCATTTGCATCTCTATGACCTCTGCAAGATTGCAGAAAGTGGCACGGTTCACCCAGTGAGTTTCCTCTAACGAAAGATCCAATCCTTTCGTCTCCTGGAAGACATTTACCGATAGTCTCGCAAACCTGGTGACAAAGACCAAATTTATATCTAAATCCAGTCTCCGAACGTTACTTAGTGTAAGTCGCATGAAGAAAACGCCATGTTTGAGGGATGTATCCTTGTTTTAAAAAAATGTATTTTTACTTCCTTTTTCTATTTATTGAATATACAAATGTACAGTCAACTTTCCGGAAGGGGGCTGCTACCATACAAAGGCTGCCTGGGGGGAGGGGGGATACAGATATAGGGAAGACGGGCGGCGGTGGAACGGTTTGAACCCGGAACACCGGGGTCATTAGTTGGTGACCTAACCACTTAGCCACCACCGTCCAAACGCTTTCAGGATGTTATCACTTGAGTTAATTAATGGTGGTTGAGAAACCTCCGTACGGAGATAGTGCTTGAGAGTTAGCTACTATACTGAGAGTCGACCGATTCCAAGCTCATGTACAAGTTTGTTGAGAAAGTCACTTATGAAATACCGGCACTAAGCCACTATCATGAAAGCCACTGAAATGCGGAAACTGTAATGTGACCGAGTATTTTACTGCATCAAGTATTGAATGTCTGTGGCTTCTTGACCCGTTGCATCATATTCTATATCCTTCACTGATCACTTTAAAATTTGTCATCAGAACTGTTCAAGCATAAGCATTTGCTTTGCGAGAGAATTCCTACTGTGATGCGGACAATATACAGCCGTAAACTTTTATCTGTTTGGCGAACCACATAAGTTAATCACTAGCTGCTCTATTCGAACAGGTATTCCACACTGCAGGACTCCCAAAGTCGTAGATGAAGCATTTCTTCACTCATTGGCGAAGGCTACTCCGGTGGTAACCCTGCTAACTACCAACCCGTAATCCTCCTTCTAGTGTTTTTGAAACTCACGGGGTCGATTGTGGAAGATTCCCCAATGGAACATCAAGAAACTTCTAATATTCTTCCGTCGGTTCAATACTGGTTAGGGCAAAAAATGATAGTGTTCGACCACTTTACTTCTGGCTCGAGATGAATGAACAAGAGCAGTCTATGAAGAGAATGCGGTAGATATCTGGGCTTTTCTAAGGCATTCTTTCGGATGAAAGCAGACGCTGTTGCACAAGGTCTTTGTCTCACGCTTGATTGGATTGTAGCCTTTCTCTAGTAATGGACAGCGTTTTTACGTGTTTCCGATTAGCTGTTCGATTCCATCAACGCTGTCTGCTAGGCGCCACAAGGATCTGTAATTGAACTATACTTCCGCTTATTCCTAAACGATCTATTGTATGGTCTGGAGCAAAAACAAAACTGTTTGCAAACGATGCTAAACTGTGGAATACAATAAGGTTTTGAGGACTCAGTAGTGTCATACCAAACTCTTAACGCAGCTCTTCAACGGTCTTTTGAGGGCAACATTGAATTCGGTGTTTAAAAATCCAAAGTTCTATCACTGCATCACAAGGATTGATTGTCGTACTTCGTTGGAAATCAAGATCTTCCTTATGCCTCAAATGAGAAGCTGCAAGCTGCTCGATCAGGTGTATCAAGGCTTCGCCCCTAGTTAGAAAAAATGTAGATTTCCTTAAGCTCCTCGTTGGCCGGTTTACATCAACAATGTTTGCATGTCCGCTCTCTGCGAACATTACATCAAACACAGAGTATGCCGTCTAGGCCTGGAGTCCATGACTGCAAAGTGATCACAGGATTTTGGAACCTCCACATAGGATGGTCACCAAACTGGTCAAGGGATTACCTTCCCTTACAGATGTGAAGAAATTCCTATCAATGAAACTATATTTCTCTTAATACTACAGAATCCAAGCCATCAGTGTCGTCCACTACTCACAAGTTGGTACTCAAAAAATACAGACTGGAACTCATCATCGTCAGTCTTTCGCCTCAACGTCTGCACCACTTGGAACGCTGTTTCGTTGAACCTTTCTAACACTGGCATGACTCACAGTTCAACATAAATGAAATGACATTAACGATGGAATAAAACTTAATTGTGATAGTTTAACCTCCGAAACCGTATATGACGCTCCTCTGCCTATTCTGTGGAATCAGACAACTATGAATCTGTGAGTAATTCCATTATAAAATTTTGGACTTTAACAAATTGTGATTCCTGTAGGCAGAGTATGCTAACTAAATCTGCTTGAAATCCGCGACAGTGACATTACTAAAGCCACCGCATGAGGCCACAGAACAAAACCGTCCGAGACATTGAAATCGAGGATATAACGGATGTGTTCAGACTTTTTTTTATTCCTTTTGAGGTGCACACTGTCAGACAATCAATCAAAATGCAGTCATCTTATTGTGCGCCAATTTGAAATGATTTATTCCACGATTGCTCTTTATACACTGCAGATGCCGATAAATGTATGGTCGCGATAGCAAAGTGAATACTCAGTCATCACTGTTTTTGTCTGTATTTCGATGTTAGGCAGATTTACTTAATACCCTCTTGTTCTGTTCTATCCAGGGTAGACCTGTTTCTGACAGATGGACATTTAAGTTGACGGAATCCTGAACTCGTACATTAAGATTCCTACCCAGAACTATTATTCGATTCGTCCCTTACTGTGATGCGTGTTTGTTAGAGGTACCTAAAATCTAAGTGGGACATTTAGTCCAGTTATTTCGTAAACTGGCCATGGTCAGTCCTTGGTCATGCACCCAGAATAGGTCACCGCATTGTATCGGCGTCTCACTCCAGCCATATTCGATCTAACTTGACATCTATGACGCACTGAAACCTC